TGACCTACCGTCTTAGTTCCTTTGGAACTTCTCGAAAAATACGGACCCCCTCCCAACTTTGACCCTAAAGGGGGCAACCCTTGACAGGAAGAGAAACAAGACGGAGAAACCTTTAGAACTCCAGTATAAGTGACCAAATTCCTCTGGAAACACTCACTCTGGGAAGGCTTAGTACGCTTCGGAAAGCATGGAAAGCCAATACCCCAAATAATTATGCCTTTCGAGATTCTTGGCAGAATCAGCTCTGTAACTCGCTACTTCAATCTACTTCCGCGAGCTTGGTAAAGTACACTCTACCCAACGCGTTCCAAACTTACAAGAAGTATCTGTCCGACAAGACTCTTGCAATTCCCCTCGACGAGATTGAGTTCCACAAGAGCCTCACCTTCTTGGAAGAACCATAGTGACCATGGACCGAGGTCAAGCGGATGAAACAACGCCGCTTCTCATTAGTGAAAGTTCGCTGGAATACTAACCAAGGACCTAGAGTCACATGGGAGCGCGTGAGTCAGTCGATTAGGAAGTATCCTCACTTCTTGGCTCGATTGTTTATGCCTACTCCTTGCCTGAATTCAAATTTCCGGATGAAATTCCCTCTATCGGGGGATGATGTGACAACCATCAAGTTCCGGTCAAGACAAAGTTAACCGAAGTCAACAAGTCAAACCGTTTGACTCAATTTGCCTGTGGGTACTAGAATTTACATTATGAAACTTCTACATAACTCTCTATTCTAATAAGAAATCATAAAGCAAAAAGTGCGAACATCTAGATCTCCTTAACCTAAAACTGTGGTACGTGGCGAGCCAAACTGATAAAACAATGTTGCATACTCCTCGGGAGTGTGTAAGATCCTTAAACAAGGCTTAACAGGGTTTACGAACCATGCATTGCGATGCCAGACACTCACAATTCTCTCAATCATTTTCACTCTATCTCTCCCTATGTCAAATCTCTCCCAAATCTCTCCAAGTATGTGAAACCTCTCTCAAATATCTCTCTGTATGAGAAATCTCTCAGAGAATGTCAAATCTCTCCCAAATCTCTCCAAGTATGTGAAATCTCTCCCAAATCTCTCTCAAAAAGTTCCCGTAACTTTTTAGAATCATTCGGGTCATTCCGACCCTTAACCAGGTCAAAAACGGCTTAAAACGGGGTAAAAACGAGAAAAATGGACCTTAGGAACCGAAACCCTTCTCAAGGAGCCGAAGCTCCTTAAGGTCGAGACCTAGGACTGAGAGCACCAGACCGGACCGAGCCTTTGTTGGCTGAACCCGGAGGACCGAATCCCTGTAGAATAGACTGAGTCTCGGTCTCTGTCGCCTCCTTTCTGTCGCTTCTCACACTCTCTATTCGCCTTCCGCCTCTCTGCTCTCTCTTCTCTTCTCTCAGTCTCTGCTCCTTCTCTTCTCTCTGTCTCTTTGCGCCTCTCGGTTCCTGCCCTCTCTCTTCTCCCCTCTCGGTTTCTACCCTCTCTCCTCTCGGTTTCAACATCAGAAGGCCGAACCTCGGCCAGAATTCGGAATATTGTCACTTTTAGCCCCTTTTTGATATTTTTAAAATTTATAGCCCGTTTTTCGTGATTTTAAAGCGGGATTTTCTCCAGAAATTATATTTTAACATAATAAACCCTAAATATTCATAATTTAAACATATTTTGATGAAAATCATTATCTAAATAATAAAGATCTAATGGGGGATTTATTTAAGGTGGAGTGTTGACCTTGCCTTAACTTATGTCACAAGCAACCTCCCCACACCCACTCTATGACCAGCCATACCTCCCCACCTTACCTAGGTCACTTCAATGTCCCTTACACTCAATTTACACTCATTCTCACGTTTTTAGAGCTGGAACAAACATCCTCTCTCCTCATTTCTCTCATTTGCTCTCATTTAACTAAGTATCAAACACCACTTTTCTCTCAAAGTTTTTTCTCCACCAAAATCGATATTCAAGGCTGATTATCAAGTGTTCTTCCACATTTGGTAAGCATAATCCATTCTCCTTATGATTATCTCACTTATTTCCACTCAAATCATGGATATCTTACACAAACTCCATCATATTTGTGTTAGAGCTTCGAATCTCCAAGTGATTCTTCAAGTGTTCTTGGGTTTAACACTTCTTTCTTCAACACTTATATACTGAAATCACTCAAGGTGAGTTCATACCCCTACATTTTCATGTTTTCTCAAGTTTTCAGGGGGGGGGGGGGGGGGGAATACAAGTTAAAACACCAAGAACATAACTACATTTTTCTAACAGCCTTCATCAGAAAAGTTCAACTCCATTCACGGACTGTTTTGGGCATCTTAAACATTTTTGTTTTCAAAACTGTACAAGGTGCAAATAATTCAAGTTCTTATATTTAAAATGACTACTTGCACATCTCCATACGATTTTTCTACAATTTATGGTGATTTTTACAAAAGTGCCTATCATTTCAAGCAACGATCCGGACCAGTCTGTGAGTTTGGACTTTTTCACCCAAGTTGGAGGTCATTAAAAATCGTGATAAAAATTATGAGTAAACTAGACACATTTTGTGAACTCTCAAAATTTACGGATCTAGTTTTCGACTTCGTATGATTTTTCTATGATTTTTCCAAAACAGTGCAGAATGGCTAATGTTAGCCAACAGCATAAAAATATCATAACACTTTGTATTATGTTGAGCAAAGTGTATAATCATAAGTTCTAATTATTGAATGTGTTTCTTTGTTAGTTATCATCATGAACTGAAACTAAGTCATTCGTAATAAATATTATACATTCATTTTAGAACACGTATAGTAAATTATAAAAAGTATAGTTTAATAAATTCATAACACTAATACATTTCCATAAAAGAGTTCATACATATTACAAACGTTTTAGATAAACTATAATAGGTATAGTTCATGATACATCACACAACACACTCGTACAGAAAGGGTACATTCATACAAAAAAGATTTATATTCACACACATTTCACGTAAACTTGTTAACCTATATTGTGAGACATTCTCTCCCCGTACGTCCGAGTGCGGGATATAATTCCTGGTAGTTATAATCAGAATCTCCTTGAGGGAGAACGTGATACTTGCATATAGATCTATATTGGGTTTGACACCCCACACCTTGCTCCTAGCTACAGTGGGACCTGCAGGTCTACGGGTGACAAATGTCATTTCAGTTTTTGCGACTCCTGAGAAACGTCGTGGCAGGTTCACATAGTCATAGTATGATTATAGCGACTCACATAGGGATATAAAAATCCATAAAGTTTACGGGATTTTATTTATAAAACCTAAATGAGTTTTATGTCGATTTAAAATCACTTTTTATCTCAATGAGTACAAATATTACTGTACACTTTCGGTTTTGGTAGTTATGACTATACATCATTTGAAACCACATTTATACCTTTAAGTATAGTCAATACTTGTTCTTTCTTGGTCCTCGGATTTAGGACTACATATACATAAAGTATTAACAAACATGAGAACATACGAAAATTTCATTTAATTCACACGCGTCCATGTCCATTTAAACACATAACATTTTCTATTAGTAAGAAGGGTTACTTATACATTTTGGTCTTCGGTCATAAGACTACATTACACAGGTTTTAAAGAAAATATCAGATTTTCTGGATACAAATTCTAACGCTTTTACAAGGAAAACGGCTTACTTTTCTCACGAAATCTCTTATGAACTCACCAACCTTTGTGTTGACACTTTTCAAAACTACTTGTATTCTCAGGAATTCAGTGAAAACAGGAAATCAACAACGTTTTGAGGATGGGATGATAAATCGTCAAACAGTTCATTTTGTATCATAATGTAATTGATGTGAATCATGTAAACATGTGATTTGATGTAATGTTTTCAATTATATTTGTGTTGGTTGTATTTACTTTGAGCACTATTATACTCATTGTTGTGATACTTTACATGAAGTCCTCCATCCCCGGACGTTTCCGCCATCCTTGGTTTGGGGGTGTGACACACGATGTACCTTTTCAAGCAAATGGGGCAGCATGTAAGCTTGGATACTGTAACACCCCCCTCTGGCACGTATCACAATATTGTCTGCTTTGGGCCACTCGGCACGAGGACTTCCCAGGGGGTCACCCATCCTGGTACTACTCCCGCCTGGGCACGCTTAACTGCAGAGTTCTTATGGGATCTGCTGCCCTCACGACTTTAAAACGCGTTGTGACAAGGAAGGTATCTACACCCCTTTATAAGGAAATGTTTCGTTCTCCTTCCAAGCCGATGTGGGATTAGATCTAACCCACTTTCACCCCCCATTATAGGGTTCGACGTCCCTGTCGAACACATCGACCCGTGCCCTAGCTCTGATACCATTTGTAACATCCCCCCTGGCACGTATCACAATATTGTCCGCTTAGGGCCACTCGGCACGAGGACTTCCCAGGGGGTCACCCATCCTGGTACAAATGGTATCAGAGCTAGGGCACGGGTCGATGTGTTTGACAGGGACGTCGAACCCTATAATGGGGGGTGAAAGTGGGTTAGATCTGATCCCACATCGGCTGGGAAGGAGAACTAAGCATTCCTTATAAGGGGTGTGGATACCTTCCCTATCACAACGCGTTTTAAAGTCGTGAGGGCAGCAGATCCCATAAGAACTCTACAGTTAAGCGTGCTCGGGCGGGAGTAGTAGCAGGATGGGTGACCCCCTGGGAAGTCCTCGTGCCGAGTGGCCCAAAGCGGACAATATTGTGATACGTGCTAGAGGGGGATGTTACAGATACTATCTTACTAACGTTATATATCCTCCTTTGTCTGTTTTTGTGAAATCGTTTACATATCCTAACGACCCAAAAAGGAAAAAGTTTAAAGAGGTGCAAGAGTCAGCTAGGAAGGATGTGGAGCGAGCATTTGGTGTACTTAAGAGACGTTGGCAAGTACTAACGGTCGGGGCAAGGTCATATGAGGTGAAAAGGTTACAACACGTAATGTATGCATGTATCATATTGCATAGTATGATTCTTGAAGACGAAGGAAGAGCGATATGCCGATATAATGAAAATGAAGTTTTGCCAAATGTCGAAGGAGTAGCCGTTGGTACACAAGAGTATAGGGTGAACAAAAGAGAAGTACACAATCGCGACCTTCATCAGGCCCTTCGTGCTGATTTGGTGGAGAACATTTATAGGGCTCATGTTCAACCATCGCAAGAGTTATTTTACGATGATAATTTGTTTGACGAATCAGACGAGGATTCTGATATGTTTGTCGAGAGTGAAGATTCCGAAGACGAGAGTGACGCTGGGGAGAATGATGCAGGTGATGTAGGCGAGGACGAAGACGCTGATTCCGAGTGACGTATCTAGGTTTAAATAATATTACGATATTAATTAATAATTTTTACTATGTTGTAGTTTGTTTGATTTTTTTTTTTGGGATTTTTTGTCTTCTTATTTAAATTTTAGGTTAATGTAATTTTTATTTTACTTAGTGAAATACTTTTTATTTTTTATTAAATTTTATGTTTGATATTAATTTTAAAATTATATAAAAAAAAAGTGAGGGAAGGTTTCCCTCCCACTCCTTGGCTTTTAGGTGAGGGAAAGGAGAGTGAGGGAAGGAAAGGTATGGCCCACCAAAAGTGAGGGAACCATCCCTCCCACTCCTTACAGTCTTAGAATCAAGTGTGTGATCTGTGTATTACAAGGGTTTATAAAAAAAATTAATATAAAGTTATAAGCATTATATTTTTTTTTAAAGTAATGGTTTTATATAAATATAAACGATATAATAAATAAAGTAAGTAATTTAATATATAATGTATGAGATTTTAAAGGTTGTAGAGTATTTTTTTTATAAAATTTAATAGAATAATCTATCTTGGATATATAAATCTCACTAAAAAAGAATTTTAAATTTAAGAAAATAAAAAATACAAGAAAATGAAAAATGGAAAAAATAATTCAAACTTTTAGAAAATGATATGTGTCAAATTCTATGAAAACATAACATTTGTTAAAATTGATTTTCATTTATTAGGTTAGATTTGAAAGTTTACGTTAAGCTTGTATTTTCTATGAGAAGTGATACATACGTAATAATGGTTCTCTGTACAAAATATTTTATGTTTAATAGAGTTGTATAATACAATATTTTAAAACGTAAATTATCATGTATGAAGAAATCTTGTTGTGTATTAATAAGAAAATATTTTATATATGGTAGTGTTTAGGATTTTTTTTGTGGAATATTATTTATAAATGCTTAAATTTTAACTTTTTCTAAAATACCTAATATTTTCAACTTTTTTTTATTTAGAGTCGACCCGTCTTTTTTTTTTTTTTTTTTTTTTTTTTTTTTTTTTCATCCACCACGACTCACTATGATAATTTCATTGTTTCCCATTTGTGCACCAAAAATCTACCCAAACAACTTGTCTCACTCTACTAAATTTATTTGCACCATCTATACTAACAATACCTCCACACCGAACACGTTCGAAGATGAAAAATTCAAGGCCCCCTCTCGATGATAACAACTCAATTTACACTTACCCAACCCTTTCTCTCCCCATCATGTCATCACTCCTACAAGGATAATGATTTTTTTAGGTCTTTGAAATCGAATTTAGGATACATAGGTATAGGCCCTACCCACTACCTGGGCGAGTTGAGAAAGGCCCAGGGCAGCAACTTGGGATAGGGCATCAATTTATGTCTGTTTTATGTATATATTTAACCCAAATCGAAGCATGACTCAAAGCTTGCAATCTTTAATCAGTTCAACATAGGGTGGGCACTAGATTTGATAGACAGAGGCACACCAGCAATGCTTGCATGATAGATGAGAATCACTTCGGTTGTTAAGCTTAATTTACTAGAGAAAGATAACATATCATTTAATGGTAAACTAAAATATATAAATTGATATTAATGTCTGGTAGAGTAGAGAAGACGATGACTTGCCTTTTGTCACACCTCAAAACCAAGAACGGCAGAAACGTTCTGGGCGGACGACGTCATGTACAGTATCACAACACAGTATAATAGTAAACAAGCAAACAACATCATCCATTGCATTAAATATATATAATTTTAATACAAGCGTGTTCTGTACAGTTATAGACACCAAAAATGTAAATCAAAATAATAAGATGAGTCTTAAAAGCGCTCCATCTTCTCAAAAGCTGGTCTCGGTACCTGTCTACTGATGACCTGCGAATACAAGTTATTTTGAAAGAGTTTATCGGCATTAAGCTGGTGAGTTCATAAGTATTTTAGTGTCGGTGGTTGTATCAAAATTTTTGAACGTAGTTATAAGTATGAGTTTGTAAACGTTTGTAAGTGTTTGTAAATGTTTGAATCTCCTAGAAAAACCTATATTTTCTATTAAAAGTAGCCTTCTACCGAGGCATAACTATTTTGTATGTTCGTTTACTGTAAAAGTGTGTAATTTTCCCCAGTGTAACTAACATTCTCAAAATATAGTTTGTACAATACCATTTAAGTGAAAAGATCACTAAATATGTAAAGGGTAAATTAATGTAGTAGTGTAGTTGTTGTATTATAGGAACTAGTGCTGTACTAACTACCTTAAACCGGATTTATATTAAGGTATCATGTGATTAATTGTACCATACTATCGACTGGATAAACAACGGCAAATGTAGGTTGTAAAATGAAATGACGTTTGGCACCCGCAGACCTGCAGGTCCGGCTGTAGCTAGCAGCAAGGTGTAGGATAGTCAATCCAGTATAGATCTATACGCAAACTCACGCTCTCCCTTCAAGAGACTCTGGCTACAACACGGGCCATGACATTGAAGTCATGCTCCGATTCGGATCACAATGGTTAATGTATTCATGTATATGTAATGTAATGTTACTCGTACTAGTATCGTTGTATATGTTCTGTTTCTAGTAAAGTTGTATATGTTCTCCTTTTAGTATAGTTGTATATGTTCTCTTTTTAGTATAGTTGTATATGTTCTCCTTCTAGTATAGTTGTATATGTTCTCTTTCTAGTATAGTTGTATATGTTCTCTTTCTAGTATAGTTGTATATGTTCTCTTTCTAGTATAGTTGTATATGTTCTCATAGTAATAAGTACTGACTCATAAATGAACTGACTCATTGATCTAACAATAGTATATGTATGATCTTGTGTTACCCCGATGGTAACTTACAAATGATGTAACTAGTATGTATGAACATGGAAGAACTTTTATGTCTATATATGTACACATGATATATAATTAATATTGAAACGACCTTCGGATGGCTACCCGATATCCCACCAGACCACATCCAAATCGAGGAAAAGGAAATAGGGCGTGCAACCTTTCTAAACCTTTTAAACACTGTTTATATAAATATACATATACGAGCATGCAATTTATAATAAGCATAACAAATTTTAAGTAAAAGTATTTGATAAGTAAAATAGTTTGTAAAACAGTTTGAAGTAAACAGCTTTGATAAACAGTTTGAATAGTAGTAAAATCATTGGTTTTGTAGTTATTAATCACATGTGATTGATGTAACAACTAAAAGTATTCAACTTGTATTCCCCCGCATAAAAGCATTTAACAAATTTAAAATTATATCAATGGTTAATTAAAGGGGTATGAACTCACTTGTGGTGAGTGCATTTGATTGAAGTGTCGGGTACGGTGCTAGGTGACAAATGATGACTTGTACACATGCACGAGCCTAGTTATCATATAATGAACATATATATAACAAATTAGCCAATTTATAACTAATAAATTAGGTTGGGACACCCTAGAACATGAAAACACTTTGTTTCAAGTCTTAAAGATCACAAGGATTGCATCTGAGTGTTGGTAGGGTAAGACTAGTGTGTTTGGAGTCCAAGGGTAAACTCCCTTGGAGTTTACGGTTTTGATGGTCAAGACTTAGGGAGTTTACGGTAGTAAACTCTAGAGTTTATGGCCGTAAGCTCTAGTCTTAAAGTCCAAGTGTTGTTTTGTGGTTTAGCAAGCCATTGAAGCATTTCTACTAAGTGGTTTGGCCTTTGGAATGGACTAGGGCAACAAAACACCTCCTTTGAGGAGTTTACGGCCTCATGGCGTTTTCCTTTGGGTTTAAAACCGTAAACCCATATTGAGGAGTGTATAGACATGTTTTCAAGTCCTTAACACAATTAGGTAAGTGCATAAGCTAGTTTATAGGCCTAAGGAAGGAAAACGACCCATTTTAACATACTTTAGGGTGTTTACGGTTTTGGGAGATCCCCAAACCGTAAACACCTATATTTGTGGGTATTTGATGTTTTTCAAGGTTTAGACACAATAAAGGAAGGTTTAAACATGTCCAGGATGGTTTATACATCAAATTAGGGCTTAGATAAGGACTTAGGCACACTTTGGTGCACTTTAGGGTGTTTAGAGAAGCATGATAGGTTCATTACTTTATCTCTTAGTAGGTAGCCCTGATATCATGTTTTCTGTTTGTAATTGTGCTAGGTATTAGTCGAATCCACGATAACCACGTCTCACTGCACTCAAGAATATTTTTCGTTATCTCAAAGGATCAATTTTGTTAGGATTGTGGTATCCTTCGAAAATTGGATTCTTCATACAAGCATTTTCAGATGCTGACTTAGGTGGTTGCAATCTGGATAGGAAAAGCACAAGTGGAGGTTGTCAATTTGTAACACTAGTCAAAATAGGTCAATAGGCAATCACATGTGATTATGCCAATCATGTAATGTGATTATGTTAACCTAGTAATGTGGTAAGAATGTTATGTAGCTCATGATAAATTCTAATACAAATATGAACTTTCTTTATGATACAACTTAAAGTATACGTCCATACGATTTCAAATATATAGAGAACCTTGAATCTGACTTCGCATGAAGAAGTTATAATAACCGAACACTATAAATCTCTATAATAAGAGAAATTTAAAATAGACTTCGAATTAGCTGTTTAAGTCTAAAATAGAGTTGTAGTACTCGTAAATACCTACACGTGCATATAAAGAACATCAAAAACGGAGTTCGTATGCAAAATTTATGGCCTTCCGAAGATTTAGCTTTCAGAAACCCGAAGCTAACTAATTCACGATGTGAGTTTTATGACACTCACGACGTGAGGAGTCATTTTGTCACATTTCAGAATCTAGAAGGTGTGACAAGATTGCGAGAGGATAGGATCCAAATTCACGACGTGAGTGTCCTAAATTCCTACTATAAATAGTAGGTCCGACTTCAGCCATTCTTACACCAAAACTTCTTCCCTTTCTCTCCTTTGCTGAGGCCATCTTGCATCCTGAGCCCCGAAGATCTTGCATGCTGACCGTTTTGCACAGATATCATAAACTCACGCTAC